TTTAGCGTGAATTATCGTTAAGGTTGAAAAAATCAAATATAAAACATTCACATATTATATTCCAGTATTAAAAAAAAATCAAAAAGAATGACCATAACAATTTATTATCAGAAATTTGCTAGGATAAGGGTAGCGCTAATTGAATGTTTGATGATAGTTATTCTTGAAGCAATTAAAGCTAAAAGAATAAATATGAAGTATTCATTGGACTTTTTTTTTTTTATCAAGAGATTTTTTGTACTACACGATCGCGGTATATATTTAAATTTTATCTTATTTTTTTTGTTTCGTGTACAATTTTTACTTCATTTAACAAAATAGATCACACTTACAAAAATCGCAGTTATATTATCGCGTTTAAACTTGATATAATCGCTTATGCGAAAGAAACATCTAATTGTCATGCATCAATATTTTACAAAGTTGACCGAAGGCGGGTTCAAGAATGGAGACAACAAAAGTCAAAGCTTGAGGCTCTTAAAGAAAATAAAGATATAAATATAGATCAAACACGTGTCCTTAGTGGTTGTGGTCGAAAAGCAATATATCCTGGGTTAGAAAAAGAATTGGTGGATTATATTAAAAAAAAGAGAGAAGAAAAACTTGCGGTTACAACGTCCATGATTAGGAAAAAGGCAAAGGAGTTAGGAAAGACCCTAGATATTAGGGATGCCAAATTTTCACGTAGCTGGTGTGATCGTTTTAGAAAACGACATGGTTTGATGGAATGTACCCGAACACAAATTGTGCAAAAATTTCCTGAAAATATGCCTTTAGTTATTAGAGACTTTCTTGAAGTTTCACATGAAAAAACAAATGTTATTGAAAAACAATTTATTATCTCTTTTGATGAAATGCCTATGTGGTTTGACATGCCTCGAACTCGACAATAGATTTTCAAGGTGTTTGTGAAGTACCAATCAAGACCACAGGAAGTGATAAATTGCGTTTTACTATAGTTTTGGACTACATAGCTTCTGGAGTAAAACTTCTGCCTATGGTAATATTTAAATTAAAAAAAAAGCCCAGAGGCATATTTTCACGAGATATCATTGTCGCAGCAGCACCTCATGCAAATATAAAAGGTGATCTAATGATTTCTACCTATATACCACAAGCTATTCGATCAAGACCAAATGGTTTTTTTAAAAGTAAAGGTATTATATTTGTTGATGGTCATCGAAGTCATGTCCGTGATGATGTAAAAAAAGCATTTAAAGCAGAGGGGCTAGATCTTTTAGAAATACCTGGAGGAACAACTAGTATTTTACAACCACCAGACGTTTCGGTTAACAAGCCATTTAAAAATGGAGTAAGACAAAGATAGGAACACTGGATTGATAAAGGAAAAAAAGTACTTACTAAAAATGGAAATTGTAAAAAAGCCTCATACAAACTTGTCTGTGAATGGGTATCTAAAACCTGGAAGGAGATTAGTTCTAATATTTTAGTTAGGTCTTTCGAAGCAGCTGGACTTACGCTTAATCCAGATGGTAGTGAAAATGATAAAATGTCTCAATGTCTTCAGGCAATTGTTCAAGCTGTCGCTAAAAACCGGACGAATGAATTGAATATGAATGAGTTATTGGATGTGCTTCCAGAAGATAAAAATGAAAGCGTGATGGATGTGGAAAATCAAACTGACAATGAAGAAAATACCACTGATGAAACCGATAGTGAAAATGCAATGGATTATAAATATGTAATGGATAATGATGAAAGAATGATAGAATAATAATAAAATAATGTAAGTTGTTAAATTGAAAAAAAATTGATTAAATAAGAAAAATAATTAAAATTTATACTTATCTCAATATTCCTACTATAGTAATCAGATTTTATCTTCTTGTGATGTGCATTGGACGGTTCAAGCCGTTAATTGTTTGCCGTTCTTGTTCTCTGTCTCTAAAGAGTTTGAGAACTCATTTAATATTTTATATTTTTGCTTTTTTTTTTTTTTTCTAACCCGGAACATTTATTAGTCATAGATTTGTTTAGCTGTAAAGGGTTTATTCGGGTTTTTAGATATTAAGTGAGCTGATTTGAAATAAATTCTCATAGAAACTTTAATTTTTGCTTAAAAAATAGTTTATAATACATTATGACATAATTATGTAATTATGATTCGACTGCGTGGAAGATCATTGTCAAAAGAAGTTCATTTAAACTTTAAAAAGTTGCTGAACCTGATAAACATGATCAAACAACGCTTTGCCAGAAATATAATTATTGCGAAGACTGCGTTGATTTAGTTGATAAATTAAAAGGCCATTTATTAAACCGTAAAAGAGACTTCCAAGAAATATATAATTTATTAAAAACTCAAAAAACAGATTCTGGTTCTTCAAATAATTCATTCGAAAAGATATAGTATCTTTTTTAAAAAAAATTTCTTAGCTTAAAATGAAATTAATCAAAAAGCAATATTTTTATTAAAGCAAAATTTTATCTCAGGCTTCGATGTTTTAATAAAGGTTTAAACAATAAAAAAACGTTTAAAAAACTGAAAACGTTTTTTACCAACTTTTGTTATTCGATTATATAGTATACTACATATGGTGTGCGCTATTTCGGGATGCGCATGGGCGTTATTTCGAAACCCAGTATGCTATTTTTAGGAGATACGATTTTCAAAATAACGCTCATGATCGTTATTTCGCGGTAATACGGTATGCGAGAAAACATTGTAAACAACTAGTATCATATTGGTGACATAATAACATGCACAAATTAACATTAAAAGTGCCAAAGAAAAACCTGAGTCATTGGGCTTTCAATTACATTTTGTAACAGACATAATCGATTTAATTTATTAGAAATAAATTAAAATAATTATGTCGACATAATTGATTTAATTTATTAGAAATAAATTAAAATAATTATGTTGACATAATTGATTTAATTTATTAAATCGATTATGTCAACATAAGTGTTTTAATTTATTACTAATAAATTAAATTGATTATGTTCGTTACAAAATGTAATTGAAAGCCCGATGACTTAGGTTTTTCTTATTTAATCATATTAAGTGTAATATTATTTTGATATGTAACAAAATTTAGCAAAATTATGCAATATACAAAAAACTTAGCTATATGTCATTATAAGTATAATGATCAAAACAACAAATGAGATAAGTATCTTTTAAATTTTTTTTTCTTTCGTTACGTTTATCATCATTCAATTTTTTTTTCTTTTGGTATGTTTTTCATCATTATGTTTTAATTTTTTTTTTTTTTTTCCTGCTTACGAAAGCTTTTACATTTATATAAATACAACAGATTTTTAGCGTTTAAAGGTAAAGACATTTTTTGAAATTTCTTAATAATTTTGGAAAAATGCAAAACACCAACTCATCTTCCACTACCCCAAATACACTACAAAATAACGAATGACCTCGAACTGTCCATTTTCTGATTTTACTAACCCTAATTAACCATATCGAAATATTTGTGCACAATCGGTTTCTTATATTACCTCTAATCCTCAACAAACATCTCATGATTTTCATCTTCAACCATCTCATTCCTTTTGACTTCAACCATCTACTCATCATTCTCAATCGGTTTCATATAATTTTGACTATCCTCAACAAACATCTACTAACACTAAATCTTAAAAACAACCTCCAAATCAATCTCAACCTTATTATTGTGACAATGATTTTGATTCATCAGATTTATCGAAAAGTATTTTAAGTGTACAAAGCATTTTCTCCCAAATGAGTGGAAAAAGCAAATCTAAACAACAATCTCACCAATCCTCTTATCGACAATCTCAACAACAATCTCGCCAACCTTCTCACCAACAATCTCGCCAACCTTCTCAAGCTCGTCCACCTTCTTGTTATGAATTCTAGTCTCGTCATTCATCACCGGGTAACGATGGATATTATTCCTCACCACAACGTTTACCTGATCCAAAGTATAGAGGAAGATCCTGTGAAAGATCAACCAACCAAGATGCACCTCAAGATACACCATGTGAAAGATCAACCAATCAAGATGAACCAAGTAATCATGATGGTAATAAATATGCTTTTTTGTTTTTTTGTTTTTTCTTTGAATAGATAGCTTTTTCTTTTTTTTTTTTTAACAAACCTTTTTTTTCTTTTTTTATAAAACAAAAAAAAAAAAACATGACTGTTGCTTTTTTTTTTTTTTTATTAATAAGAACCTATTTTTTTTTTTTCTAAAAAAAAAAAAACAAGATCATCGCTACCACTATCACTACTGCAAAGAATTTGGGCAGCTATATGTTCAAAATCAACAGCTGTATTTGTTGTATAAACAGCTTAACAAAAATTATAAAGAAATAAAGAACGAACTAAAGAGGAACGGGACGAGCATGACAATGAACTCTCTCCTCAAGTGATAGACATAAGTGATTTTCTTTCTAAATATTTTTTTTTTATATTGAATATGTTTGTTGTAATGTTTTTTTATTTTAAAGGAAATATATAATGGCATTGTAAAACGTTTATTTCCGACCCATGTTTACCTGAGCCAAAATGTTTTGAAGGAGACTATGAAGAGTCATCTTGAGGAACAGCTTCCTGAATTCATGTGTAGCATGAGTCCCAATTAATTTACAAACCGTTTTCACGGTAAATGGTATAGTGCAGTACGTGATAAATCGATAATATTTTTTTTTAACGTTATTAATCGATAATATTTTTTTATCCTTATTAATCAATAATATTTTTAATATTATTTAATCGATAATATTTTTTAACGTTATTAATTGATAATGTTTTTATCTTCTTATTTTATCAATACTAATAACTATAATAATAACTATTTTATTATTTAACTTTATAAATTATAGCTCCTTCAAAAAGTAAAGAATAATTGAGGTGCAGCACTACAAAGCATTCGTTCAGCAATGTGGAAAACATTTGGTGTGGAACAGTTGCCTCCTTGAAAAGCAATGCCAAGGCCCCAGCAATTGTTAAATGGAAGAAAAATCTAAAAATAGGCGATTGTCATTACTTATTGTTTGAAAAAAATAGTGATGATGTGTTTTGGATCACCACGATTACAAGAGCTACATTTTCAGAAGTTGCAGTTCCTATATTAACGAGTAAACACTGTGCTTTTGTACTGGCAGTATGCGATATATTCTTGAATCCCAGATTCAAGAGTATAACATGTGACAAAAAAAATATGAAGCATCGTATTGAAAAGTATTTTGTAAATATTTGCCATTTTTCTTTTTTTTTTTTATTATATAATATTTTAAACTACTAACGTTTTAATAAATATAGAATGATTTTAATACTGGTAGACCGTTGTATATTTCGTCTGAAGTAATTATGAATGAATCAGAGGTTCAGTGCCCCTCTGATTCGCAGCACAACACTCCTGAATCTAATACAATGGGTAGAATATCTAGGACTCCTTCTCAGGGTAGTGGTTCGGTCGCAAGATAATTTGGATGAATTGTTTGGGGTTATAGGGGTTGATAGCTTTAGCTATGCTGATTATTTTAGCTTTAATTAGTCATATTTGTTGTATGTAATTAGCGATTTGTATTGCTTATTTTTCAATTAATAAAATTAAATTGCATTTGTTTGCATTATAAAAAGTAATATTTGATATTAAAATTAATTTATTAAACATGAGTAATAAGTATATAGTATAATAGTATTAATATTGGTATAATTAGAAAAAATCGATTTGAATCATTATTTGATATTAATTACTACTAATCAGATTTTTTTTAACTGATATATATCGATTACTAACTAACTTGATAGTCATCGTCAGGGGTATTTATATCGATTACTATCCAATAACCGATTAATATCGATAGTAATCCCCTTGCAAATTTTGGTGATGAAGTTTAAAAATATTATTAAAATTAAAGTAACCTGTGAGTTGATAGCATAATGGTTATACTCCCAAGTTGCAAATCGGACGGTTGCTGGTTCAATTCCTCCCAATGGCGGATTAATAAAAAATTCGAAAATGGAAGTGAAACATTGTGGGTTATAGGGAACCCAGGATATCTATGGATAGACGTATTTAGGAATAGTTATTCTGAGAAGTTGTGGCTGTGAAGCGAGGCGTGTTAGAACCCCGATTTGAAATAACCGAAGTCACGAGACGTAATGTGAGGCCAAGTCTGATAAAGATACTACAAGAACTCGTGGTGCTACCGGATTGGCTGGTGAAATCCCAGTACAATAGAAAGGTGATCCGACATCTCCGGACATTGGTGCAGGCGGTCGAATCCGGGTACCCAAAGTGGTACTAGAGGTCCAGACTGGATCCCGTGCAGGAAAAATGTATGCAGTAACTAGCCTTCAGGTTGGGTATATAACTGGAGGGGTATAGGGTCTTGGCAGAACTTGCCGAAGGAAAAAAAACAAAAATTAAAATTAAAGTTAAATAGAGTAAAAAAAAGTTATTAAAATTAGAATTAAGTAAAGTTAAAATATTATTAAAATTTGATTTATATAAAGTTAAAAAAAGTGAGAAACCAAGACCGTTAAGATCTTCTATATATATGTATTAGAGTGGTGAAGTAGTTAAAAAAAAAACACTCTTTTTAATCGAATAAAAAACACTTTAAAAGCTCTTTTTAGCAGTATTTCTTGAATCACTATACAGTAAGCTTTATTTTTATTATTTTTTATTTAATTCGGTTTAAATTATTTAAATTATTTTAAATTATTTTATTTTAAATTTATTTCATATAATTTTTTACATAAACTATTTCTATACTAATACT